CAATCCTCATCTTGTGGTTCTTGCCTTGTCTATGCTTTAGTGCCAGCTAGATGCAGATATACACAAATGTAAATGTTAGCAGAGTAAAATACTACTTTCACTTTTTTTTTTAAAGGAAATTCCCCAAAGCATGTATGAACTTCTTTCCTCTATGGAACACAAAAGGAACTCTCTTTGAGTAAACTATCCATTTAGCCCTCTATGAATGTACTTACATGTGCCACTCGTATGCTAGTGCAGAAGGAGATTTCTCCCAGTGGCTGAATCGCATGAAGCTTTGAGACAATGCGGCCTGTGTCTGATGTTAAAGTGGTGAGGACCTCACAATTACTGCACCAAACCAAAAGATGTGTTACTACATGCAAACAACACCATTGTCTGACAGATCATACATGTATGAAATAAAATACAACACCGACATACTTACTTTGCCATTGTGATTAGGCCCACATTGTTCTCTGGGTTAGTACGGGTCTTTGAGTGACAGACAATGTTGACAGCATCCTGCTGTGCCTGTAATCTGGTGGGCAGGAAATCTCCATTCCTCATGTATTCACTGTTGTCCACACTGTTAAGACATGAAGACAATCAGCATGTTTCCATCAAATGCATACAAGTGCAAGAGCATAAACTGAGTGCTGACATTTGCAAGAGATAAAAAATAATAATAATAATAATCAAACACTAGCACTTGGTGATCCTAGTTTTATTTACACAACAGTCAGAGCAAGTAAACTGGATCCCAGCAGTGGAAAACTGCTTTAGATAAATGTCCGTGAATCAAAACCAAGTGAGCTGCCTATCTAGACATCTTTTGAGGGCGTTATACTAACAATTCTGCTCACTAGTGTCTGAGACACAACCAGTATCGCTTCATGACGGTTCTAGAAGACTAAATAAGACGCTATCAAATTGAGATCACTAATAAGTGATGATTGTTTATGGGTCATAAATCTGTTTTTGTGTTAGTGGTCCGTTTCTTTATTGCAGAGCTACGTGCTGAATAATGACTCAGGAGAATGTCATTCTAATCAGAAACCGGCTATT